CCTGTTAATGGAATAATATTTATTTGTATTATATAAGTATATATAATAAATGTGTTTTATAAACAAATTATATATGTTTTAAATAATTAATATGTTAAAAGCATGAGCTCTGGTACTTGCCTTTGCCACCTATTTCCTTTGTGATCTTGGTCAAATTGGGTGAACCCTATGCTGCATTTTACTTATTGTAAAATAGGACTAATATTAGTACCAGCCTCAGGGTTGTTTTTAGGATCAAAAGAGTTCATACATAAAACATGCTTAAAACAGAGCACATAGTAAGTGCACAGTGTTATGTTAAACCACATGAAATTGCCAATATTTGTTCTTTTTTGATTTACCAAAAAATGACAGTTTTATATAGTTAAAATGTAATAGCAAAAACATACTAATTTTTTTTTTTTAAAGATTTTATTTATTTATTTGAGAGAGAGAGTGAGAGAGAGAAAGAGCACAAGAGGGGGGAGCGGGAGAGGGAGAAGCAGACTCCCTGCCGAGCAGGGAGCCCGATGCGGGACTCGATCCCGGGACTCCAGGATCATGACCTGAGCCGAAGGCAGTTGCTTAACCAACTGAGCCACCCAGGCGCCCAAAACATACTAATTTTTAAAAAATAATTGTTGTTCAATCAGAATCACATATTATGGATGCAATTTACTGGCCAAAATCCACTGAATCCATATGACTGGGGTAGGGCCTGGGAAACTAAATTAAAACTGACAATAATCTCTCTAAGTGATTCAGATATGTAGCCAGGTTTGGGAATTTTTGATTTATAGTATTGCCCAGGAGATTTTTTTATACTGTGAAGGGAATAACATTGATAGTCAAGAGAATGAATCTGGGGAGGAATTTTGCCTCACAATGAATCATACCTCATGTCTCCATTATATCTGATTTAGGTGATATTTTGGACTTTAAACTTTAGAGTCAGTGCTGGAATGAATTAAAGACTTTTGGGACTGGTGGTATGGGATGATTGTATTTTGCACAGGAGAAGGGCATGGATTTTCAGTTGGCAAGGAGCAGAATGCTCTGGACTGAATCGTGTCCCTCCCAGAATTCATAAGCCCTAATCCCCAGTGTATAGTATTTGGGAGATAATTAGGTTTAGTTGTGGCCATGAAGGTGGGGCCCTGATGAAGGGATTAGTGCCCTTAAAAGAAGAGACATATATAGCTTGTTCTCTCCCCCTGCCAAGTGAGGACACCATTAGTAGGCAGCCACCTACAAGCCAGGAAGAGAGTCCTCACCACAAACCGACCATATTGGCATCTTGATATTGAACTTCTAGCCTCCAGAACTGTGAGAAAATTAATTTCTTTAAGGCACCAGTCTATGGTATTTTGTTATTTTGTTTTGGCAGCCCAAGCAGACTAAGACATCTAATTCCTCCCTCCAGCACTTTGTATCATTGATGTCATTCATTCCACTTATACATAAGCACTTATACATAAGAATGAATATATATATATATGTGTGTGTGTGTGTGTATATATATATATATGTATATATATATATATATATATATATATAAAAGAAGAAACTGGAGAAACAGTTTGAAGAAACTGTTACCTGTTAGATCAATTAAGAATAAGAAAAATAAAAGTTTTTATTTTACCTGTATTTATTCCTTCTCCAGTGCCTTTCCTTTGTTTATATAGATCCAGGTTTCTTTTCTTTTTTTTTTTTTTAAGATTTTATTTATTTGACAGAGAGAGAGAGAGACACACAGCGAGAGAGGGAACACAAGCAGGGGGAGTGGGAGAGGGAGAAGCAGGCTTCCTGCAGAGCAGGGAGCCCGATGTGGGGCTCCATCCTAGGAACCTGGGATCATGACCCCAGCCGAAGGCAGACGCTTATTGACTGAGCTACCCAGGTGCCCCGTTAGATCCAGGTTTCTGACTTAAATTATTTTCCTTCTCTCCAAAGAACTTTTTAAAGCATTTCTTGTGATGCAGGTCTACTGGGAGTGAAGTCCCTCAACTTTTACTTGTCTGAGCAGGTCTGTTTCTCTTTCACTTTTAAAGGATTATATCACAGGACATAAACTTCTAGGTTGGTGGTGGGTCTTTTCTCTCAATACTCCATTCTTTTCTTGATTGTATGGTTTCTGAGAAGTTGGATTTAATTCTTCTCTTTGCTTATCTATAGCTAAGGTGTCCCCCGTCTCCGGCTTCTTTCAAGATTATTTTCTTTATCTTTGATTTTTTGCAGCTCAAATATGAGGGTTTTGTGGGTTTGGGGTTTTTTTTTT